AGAGAGAAGCCATATTGTTTGAAATATTTAAGCTTTCTTTAATGAACTATTTTAAAACCTCAAAAACAAATACTCAGTATTTTTGAACAGTTTCTGTTTCATTCTAGATAGAATGATGATCATTAAGGCATAGCATGTAAGGTCTTCTTCCAATGTTCTAATTAAGCTCTTCAGTTCTTCCCCTTCGATGATCAGTGCACCAGCTCTGACTATGCTGCACATTAAGGATTAAGTTGACCAGCAGAAGGAAAAGCAGGGATCGAGAGAGGAGGCAGCACCTCTTTTTGCACTCTCCTGAAGGCCATGGCATGCTAGTTATTCAGGAGGACACTCTCTGTCTTCCCTGCAGAGCTGGTTTATCCATTATCATTCATATAAGCAAAGCATCACAGTAGTTTTACATACAAGTATCCCAGAAATGTATTTCCAACAATGGGAGAACGTTTAAAGAAAATGCTCTCCTGAAGGAGTTAGGTGAAAAATAACATACTAAACTACATAGAACAATGGCAAAAATATTAAAAGTGTAAATAATACCAAAAATAATAAATGTAATAGAAGAGTTGCTAACATCTTTTAAACAATCCCTGTGTTATGAACATGTTCTAGATAATTTACACTTTCATTTAATTATCTCCTTCAATCCTCCCAACAACCCTATGATTTGGGCATAACTACCCTGTCTTTACACATGAATGTAAAAAGGAGGTACAGAGAGTCTCGGCAACATGCTAGGTTCAGCAAAAAGACAACACAGGTTCCCCAGGTGCTTGAATGCTCGTGGGATGACAAGCCTATGAAACAGGCTGCAGTGTGTGCGGTGTGATGAAGGACATGCCCACAGGTGTAGCGGAGGCTCCGGCTGCGAAATCAGGGGAGACTTCCTGATGGAAGCAACACAGCTTTAAAGGGACAGTTGGATAGTTTTCCAAGTGAATAGGCAGGTGGGAAAACCTTAAAATTTGTACGTGAAAGAGCTGGTCTTCAAACTTGACTCTGCCACTCACCCATTATGTGACCTGGAACAAGTAACTTAATTCCTTCATTTGAACAACAGCTGCCATTTCTTTATGGCTTATCAAATAAAATATAGTACTGAACTCTCTATTTGGGTGTCTGATGCTATTTAAGTACTTCAAATTCTTTAAACATGTGACTCCCAGTTTTCTTTTGCCTTGCTTACTTAGGTAGATATGATTGTGACACTGGGAGGACTTGCTGGGCGTTTTGACCAGATTATGGCATCCGTGAGCACCTTGTATGAAGTGACTTGCATCTCTACTTTGCCGGTTATAATAATCCAAGGGGAATCTCTCATCTACCTGCTCCAACCAGTAAGTGAAGAATGAATATGTCAGCTCTTTGCTTCCATGACACTTTTGACATTAGGGTTGACGAGGAGAAAACATCAGAACATCAGCCCCTTGCTGCTATGAGTGACATTGACCCTGTGTCTTATTTGTGCCTACTTTAGTCTACTGACTCTAAAAAGTCAGTGAGCAGAAAAAATACAGTTTCTCAGAGTTTTCATTTCATGGCTCCCAGGAAAAAAAATCTTGTAACTTTTAATTAAATTGACTAAGAATTAAATTTAGCACTTTCGCATTTTGAGCAGCTGAACGTTGAGTGCCACTTGAGAAAAATCTCCACAAAAGAAACATAAAACTTGGTAAATATTTCAAGTGGAATTCTCATATATTTTTAGTGTTGTCATTATAATTGGAAACTGGATTTGATTTTTGTTAAGCACTTAAAAGAAAATCTTTAGTGTTTAGCCTTCATAAGTCGCCTGCTTATTAATTTTACTGCTGCAGGATAAATGTCTAATAATGTCATGATTTCATTTCCAATGACAAACATCAAGGAATTTTTCTATCAGTCTAGCACTTAGAAAAGAATTCTTTTTAAAATAAACAAGTTTTATAAGATTGATCAGTGGATTTTAGTCTGAAATCTAATCATTTGGTAACATTCTTGAAAGACAGAGGACAGGTTTTTTCTTGTTTGCCTGTCATTGTAATGTACTACTTAGAGTATTGTTTCTACCCCATCTGCTGTCCATCATCTGTAGCATGTCATTACCTAAAAAATTGTTGTGTGGTTAGTATTGTAAGTATAATCTATACTCACCACTGTTCAGCCAGTTTTGCATCTTTTTCTTGTTCTTTGCATTGTCTAGCTTTGTTTACTTTCTATGGGATGTAGAAACAGAACTGAAGAATGCAGTTTTCTAACTCCATACTGTCCATTTACTTAGTCAACAGTTACGGCGTGCCTGCTATTTATCTGTTACTCTGCTAAACAGTCAAGGATTCACAGAAATAGTAGCATATAATCTTTGCTCTCTAGTACATGTCCAATGAAGGCATCATTTATAAAAACATAAACATAAAACAATATAAAAAGACTGACACATAAACAAGATGAAAGATTATATAATTTGGTCATGAGTGTGGTAAGGAAAGCCTCCCCAGAGGCACTCAGAGTTTATTCACTCAGTTGATTCTGCAAATATTTATTGAGCACTTGCTATATGCCAGAACCTCTTGTTTCATGGAATATACAGTGTGTTGAGCTTACACTGCAGCAGAATCTTCAAGGATGAGTAGATGTTTGTTGTGGGAGATGGGAAAGCCATTCAAGTCAGAAGGAGCCACTAAAGAAAGACAAAGATGCAGGGTATGTTAGGATCTGTTCCGTGCAGCTGTATGGAAAAATACCAGGAGATGAGACTAGAAAACTAGTTAGGATTCCTGATTATAAAGAGCCTTGAATTCTACACAATGGAGTGTGAGCTATTTTGCCATTATGGGAAGTCATTAAAAGGTTTCCATTAAGGTGTGACATGCACAGATACACTTCTTAGATTTCTTTTAGGTAGGTTAAATACTTGTAATTTCCCAGCAATAACTGAAGTGTGAAATGTACCATTGTGAATCACTGAGCTTTATCATGTTACATTGAGCTGATAAGATCATTGCTAAAGTAGTTAACTAACTTTCTCTGTGTGGATGCCCTAGTTAATAGATTGCTAGTTAGTTAAAGCTGCAGTCCAGTAATTTTTAAAAAGTAATATTGGAAGATTAACTGACAGAAAAAGTCACATCTGAAAAATGACTCTGCTCTTAAGATCTTTCCACTGTTCTGACGTTCTGGCCCTTCCCTGCCATGTGTATAGCTGTGGACTTCCTAAAATGTGTTTCACTGAGAAGTCCTTGAATTTGCTCCATCTGCAGATTGTCATCTGAAATCAGTTTGGAAAACTCTCAGCCTTTATGCTTTCAAATACTGTCTCTGCCCTATTCTTTGTCCCCCTTCTTCTGCAACTCCACTTAAATGTATTTAAGATCCTCTAATTGCATCATATATATCGCAAAACTCCTCTTTCATGCTTTCTGTCACAATCTCTCTGGGCTGCCTTCTGAAGCTCTTCATCACTTGGATTCCACTCCACTCTTGTTTCTATTTTGCTACTTCAGTTGTTTCTGTTTTGCTGCTACCCAGCCAATGAGTTTTTCATTCCTGCTATGAGTCTTCTTTTTATAGGCTTGCCCTTTACTCACATTTTCAAGACTCTTTCTTAAAATAATTGTCATACTTATTTTGTAGTCTAGAATAATTCTAATATCTTCAGTCTTTGTAAGTCAGCTGTCTTTTATATCCACTTTGGCTTTTATATTTTGTAACCTTGATTCCTTCTGTGTTTTGTGATTTTTGGCCATGACCTCATATTTCTGGGAACTTTACCTGTGGGAATTATTTGAAATGTGAGTTAAAAGTGAGTCCATAAAGAAGTGAGAGTGGACTCCTGGCCCAATTATTTATAGGCACTAGTAACTGAGGACATCTTACTTGAGATTTTTGGGGACCTTCTAAGTAGTGTGAATTCTGGAGTTTGACTTCCGGTTACAGACACTCAGAGGGGACTGGCTGCCTCATCTCAGCAACCCAGTGCCAAGGTTTGGTGGGGCAGTTTTCCTAGCAGTCCAGAGGGAGTGTTACTTATATTCATGCTTACACTGACTGTGTTTATGTGGTGCAATCTCCTTTTACTCAGTCCTTGGGCAGGCCTTGGGCCTTGTCTGCTGATGACCTTCCATACTTGGAGTCTTTCCAAACTGAAGTTCAAGATCATCTGATTTGATAAACACCAAATATTTAAAAGATAGAGTCAAAATATTTAAAAGTCTTCAGTCAAAACTTAGGTTTTTTGGCTTCTGAGTGGTCTTTAAAAAACAAAACAGATGTTTGATGCATTTTAAAAGATTCCTTTTAATGTTTTATTCCTAGCATTTTTTATTGCTTGAAGTTGGTCAGGGGATTCATCTGCCATACCACTTCCATAAGTCAGGTCCTGCACTGACTGATTTTAGCCCCCAAATCTCAGAGGCTTAACTGAAGGTCTCATGAATGGAATACCTGGTTGGTTTGGGCAGCCCCCTCCACTCCCTGTCCAGGCCATCAGGAATGCTGTGGGGGCAGGAGAAAGGACTGCTAGGGAGTGGCACCACGTACATGCATCTTGTGTCACCTCTGGTGTATGGGAACATAGTTTGGCCGCAACAGCCCACCTGCAAGGCAGTCTAGGAAAGGAAGGCTGTGGTCCTGGGAGAGGAGACTTCACGTGAGCACAGAACCTGTCTGTCAAACTGCCACTGAAGTTTGGAATCATGACCCTATGTAATTTCTAGGAACATTTCTTTTCTTTTTTTGTAAAGTATGTTCATCTTTAGCTCATTGTTAGAGCAGAATCCCCAGTTCTCCAAATACAGCCATGTTGAGAGTACTTGCATGTCCTGTATGCCCCAAAAGAATGCCCTTTAGATTTTCTTTCTGTTGATCTGGATTTTGTCTGATTGAAACCACTAGAAAAAGCAATTATTACGTAGTGTGGGGCCGGAGGCTCAGGCAAGGCCACGCCCTCCGTCAAGTAGAGGAGTGACCCTGTTAGCACGCGCTTCCGCCTCTGGAGCCGAGGGCTGGCGTTGCTCCTCTTTGATGCTCGATTCCAGGGAAGTCTTCCTGGAGACACATCCTGGGTCCCTGCTCTTCAGTCACTTTTAGGGAGGGAAGTAGTAGTTAGTGAGACAATTAGTCATACAAATGCAAAAGTCAAAATGAGTACCTTTGAGGGTTTAATATGTGAACCAATCTCACGTAGTGTACTACACCTGAGCAGTTTTAAAGGTACACTTACAAATGTACGAACACTAAAAATCAAAAGCTGTACTAAAACTTATGCATAGAAGCATTCTACCTCCTGGAAGTAGGACTCGCATCCTTGGAGCCAAACTGACCCTGCCAAGTATATTTTCATGTAACTGTGTCGTAAACGTTATCCGTGTACTGGGTATACAGACGTATTAGATGTCAGACAGTATGCGTATTCTGGGGGTTTATTCAAAAAGGGTGTCTATGGATACTGTTCACTGTTAAGAGGACTTTCCAAGATCGCTAATCATAATTAGTAGAAACACCATAAATTGTAACCGTTTTTAAGTATTGTGGAGCTAGGTTCAAAAAAATCAACCTAGTATGTTATGCATCAGTGTCAAATAGAGAATGGTATGAAATTTCTTAATTTATTTTTTAATTAAAGTGAACAAATAGCTATTCTTGAAAGAAGATAATTTGGGAACTTTTAAAATAAGCATCTTATTTGAGCTTCATAACAAAACTGTGAGGAAAGTGGGTCAGATCCTCCAGTCACACAACTGGCGTGTTTTCCTCAACACTTCTCCCGTTTGTCACCCTATGCTTGCTCCTTCGTGGGGTTAATAGACTACATGCAAAAAGAGATGCAGTCCAGAGGCTGGTGGTTATCCACAGACATTGTAAAACTGGGCAATGAATAACAACAGCCAGTTGGCAGGTCTATTTTACTTCCAAAAATGTGTTCTGAATAAGGGACCATGACCTTTTATGAGTAGGAGATGTTATGATATCAGTGAGAAACATTTTACATGTGAAACATTCCCAATATCCAGGAGTAGATGGCTACACGCCTGACGAAGACAGCCAGGTGATCCCAGCCGTGTTCATCATGCCGACCACGCCGGGTGCGAGCTGCTCGGGGTTTCACACACATACTTTCTCATTTTCTGGTCCTTTGCTTCTCAGGAGTACAGAAACATTAGCTTCTGTACACTGAGCATAAATTATCTATTATCTGCAAGTTTTATGGCAGTTGGTAATACAAGTTAATAGGATTTATGACCAAGAAATGAGATGTCCAAGAGTTAATAGGGCGTGCCTTTTACATTATCCTAAACCTTGTTCAGTGATTCCTATTCAGGATTCCAGCATCTGATGTGAGAGAACGGTTGTTACAGAG